TAGCGCGGGCATGCTCTCCCGCCCCAAACTCGGAGCATGGGGGGGGGGGAGATATATATATACACACACACAATATATATCCAGTGTGTTGGAACGTAGACTGAATTATAACAGCTTTTGGTCTGAAAAAGAATAGCCCAACCATTGACTGGACGACCGAGGAATCGGGGTTCTGTTTCTGGCAGAAGGTTCTCCAAAGCGTTCAGACTGCTTATAATGTCCTCGCAAACCTCTAGCAACTAGGTACCGGTGTCTCTTTCCACGGGTGTGAAGCTGACCACTAACCTCCATATTGTGCCCCAGTTAGGAGTGCGTGGAGGTGTAGGTCTTCCTCCATGACCCCAGACGTGTTCATGGGGTCGTGCTTAATTGACAGCAGGGTTAAAATTACCCTTTGTTAATGTTATTATATATTTTTACACCATATTACAGTGCCCTGTCCAGGATCTAACCTTGCCACTTCGGTTTATCTCGCGGTGCTTTCGTATGAAATGAGTTTCACAGTACATTAAATGATACGCTAATAACTTCCTTAAGATGTGTGTTCTTCTCTGAATGTATGTTTCATGCAATTCTGCACACGAATTTCTACCGGCGGATGTCTTCAAAATGTTTTGAAGTGATTTTGATAGGCTTCCAGTCACATCTATGATTTTACTATTATTGTTACGTAGCATGGAGTGACTACAGACGGGATTTTGGATTGGAGATTGGATTTATTGACCACTTACAGGTCGTAACTACAAATAACTAATACTATTGCTATTTTCACACTTTACAAAATTACGCTAAGTCTTTTCCAGCCCAGTGTCTTCACTAGTAGTTGCCTTGTAACGGCTTTTGACAATGGCTGTTCCTCTGCTCCTGGGTTCAAGTCCTCTCCGAATGGCGGCTCCCTTCCAACTGACTAATCATCAAAGTCAAAGTGAAAGTTACTTTACGACTGGAGGTTTACCGCAAATTATTTAGTCTTAGCGTCATGCCCCTTGAAACCCACGACCAGAGATTTTTTTTAAGCGAACTCTTTTGTTAGTAGTCCTTATGTAACACAGCAGAAATCCCTGTTTCCAGTAGCTTCTTCATTGTTGCACGCGTATTCATCGCCGCGGGAACGTGTTTACCAAGCCTTTCCCTAGCAGCGAATGTCTTTTCGTTGTTTGTTTCACGGTCCCTGCCTACAAACGATTTTATTCGTCACTTCATTAGTAGTAGTAGTAGTATGGGAACAACATATATTGATAGTTTTCTGGCATCACCAGAGGAGCTAGAGCATCTTATCAGTAAAAGACCAGGTACACCAACCTCAGATGACACAGTTCCTTCGAGAGTGAATTCACAGGGCGTAGCCAACGTCAATGAGTCAGACTTGCGGCGTACATGGGAAGAATTCAGATATCGCGTTGACGTTTGCAGGGCAACTAATGGAGCACATATCGAGAGTTTCCATGCTGTTTTCGAGTTGTTTCATGTTTGCATCTATAACCATTTAGAAAATAAACTAATTGGCACCGAAATCATTTATAATAGCACAGCATATTATGTGAGTACCATCAGCTGGTTCCACAATTTGATATAATGGTATCTATGAACTGAAATTTCAGTCCTACATCCAACTCCAATAATGGAGGATCGCCCTTTGTAGGCCCTCTGCAACTGTCCGTTCCATGCGTAGTCAGATTATGTTCAGACTTGTTTCAGTGTTGTTCACTTGGACCTGAGATGTTCTCATCTGAAAGATATTTGCACGTCCCTTCTAAAGAAACAAAGAAGTCCTTGGATTTGCTCAGATCTAAACATTGTGTTCATGGTAAGGGCAAAAATTTGTTGTGCTCAGCACCTTTCAAGACTTTTAAGGTTCTTAGGAAAGAAACGCATAGACAGGGACTGAAGTTCCAAGTTTCAGGGGTTAAAACATTATTATTATTATTATTATTATTACTTTTGCTATAGTAACAGTTTAGCAGTCTGTAAAATGACGCACGCAGCGACGTTTTTGTCGTCTCCATAGCTACCAGACCGGTTTCCGGGCCCACCCAGCCTCCAGTCCTATGGGAATTGTGGTATTTTTCTCGAGGCTTATTAATGGCTTTATTTAACTGGGGGCACGCGGTAGCACAGTAGGTTGAAGCATTATAAGCCGGAAAGTTGCGGGTTTGATTCCCGATGAGGCCATTAGATTTCTCAATTGACCTAACCCTTCCAGCCGCACTATGGCCCTGGGTCGACCAGTCTCTAACAGAAATGAGTGCCAGAAATCTTCCTGGGGGTAAAGGGCGGCAGGCCCGTAAGGCTGACAACTTCACCGCCATCCGTCAGCCGATTGTCTAGATAATGTGGAAGCCTCGACTCTCACAACCCTATGGGCCTCCACGGCCTGTTTATCTTTTCACCTTACTACTCACGTCCGTCTGCATGCCGTGTACATGTGTTCTCGTCTTCAGAGCATTCTGTTTTAATATTATAAAATTATACTTCGAGAGTCGACATCGGAGGCAGGCGTATATGCATGTAACATCACAGCATGTCCACTATTACCCGTACATACTATTCTGAGTCTGTATACCGACGGGCTACAGGTTGGACGGACGAGGTTCAATTCCCGGCAGGGGCAACAGATTTTCCTGTTCCTCACAGCATCCAGACCGGGTCTGGGGCCCGCTCACTTCCATCTAATGCCGAGGTCAATAATAGTGGAGCTATACCTCCACTCTCCCACACGCCTACATGGCGTGCTGCTTTACGTTTTACCTTACATACAAGCACTACTCTGGTTAACGAAAAATATTTAAAACCTGTAAAGTAAAAAGTAAAATAATCCCTGTGCGTAAGGCGTATGGGGGAGTGGATGTATAGATTCATATTTTCTTGATCTTGACACTAGCTGGAAGTGAGTGGTCAGCTTTACGCCCTGGCCGCTTTACCCCTCGGGGAAAGAGCCCCCGGTACCCATTGAATAGGAAGCTGGGTGGGCCCCAGAGCCAATGTGGACGACTTGGATAACAGAAAACTCGAACTCGTAGCCAGTCGCTATCCCGGCTCTGCTTGTGAGAACCATATGAAGCACGTAAATACACTGAGCGGGCAGAATGTTTTATAAAGTTATGGCAGGCGGTACTTATACTAACCACTGAGGTATAAAGAGTTAAACTGATACTGATGTTTTAGTTTTCTGTCTATATACCTGAACGTTGCACAAGGAGGATGAGATGGGTTGGACATGTAGACTTATTTAGTAAAAAGTAAAGCTATCACTGTAACAGGCCGTGAAGGCTCATAAGGTTGTGGGACGTTGAGGGTCCCACACTAGACAGTCTGCTCAAAGGTGGCGGTAAGGTTGTCAGCCTTACGCCGGCCGCGCTTTACTCCCCAGGAAAATTATTTTATTCATTTCTGTTAGAGGCTGATTAAACCTCAGGGCCTAGTGCGGCTGGAAGGATTAGGTCAACTGAAAAAAAATCCAATGACCTCATCGGGACTTGAACCCGCGATCTTCCGGCTTGTAGCATAGCCCCTCAACCACCTACGCTACTGCCAGACTTATTTAGTATCTGTAGTAATAATAATGTTATTGTCATATATATATATAAAGTTTACAACAAGTTTTGAAAGCTCGTTTGGGAAATGGACGCGCTTCTAAATAAGGCATCTTGTAAAATTATTCTTTCATTACCAGTTGTTTCTATTAGCCTACTTTACGTTTGAATGCCTGAACCAGTCTTCACGAAACTTGGTGAGCCATCTGAGCGTCGTACTTCATAAATGCCTCCAAACACTCTGTATATGTATGTTACTAGGCAACGGCTCGGTAAAAACATTACTGCGGCAACGAATACAAGCGCAATAAGAGACGAATTGTTGGAGGCGTCGTTTTCTGTTTGTGACCTATAAACCAACTTGAAAATGATCAGTAAGTCGAAACATGCCGTAGTCTTAAAATAAATAATTATCGATATATCGAACAATTTTTGTGTATACAATTATTAGAACAGTTTTCGTAAAATTGCGCCCCCTCAGCAAAGCTTTCATCGTCCACCTAACCGCTTAACTGCGCATGCTTGTGTATAAAGAGCAGCTGTTTCGGTTTTCATTTTCGGAACCACCATGTTTCTATTCTTATCGACAATTAGATTCTGAAGGGTTCTGACGATGTTGTATAACACTCAGGGTTACTGTGTTTTCGGATTTTGTTCATCATCCGCTGTTCTAGAAACCAGAATAGCGGACGATATCAGTAATGTTTATCAAAATTTTACAAATGCACGAAATTAAACCGTCTGTCTCTGACATTTTGAGAATNCTCTGAAGATGGAGGCGATACGTTCCTCCGAAACGTCGGCCAAAACGAAGAATACACGGCGCCTAAACCCAGAAGACGACTTTCTTCATAGTCATCTCCGTGAAAACCTCAAAACTTACAATTTCTCGTTTATTCTGAACTGTTACAGTCCCTGAGAGGGGCGCAAGACAGAACAGTATTTGCTTCAAACTCTTTCTTAAACTACGTCGCACAAGTAAATGGGCGTAAAGCTTTGTTCTAGAGCCGGGGCTCACTCGCTATAAGCGACGAGCTACGGGCTGGATGGCCGGTGTTCGATTCCCGTTAAGGCAAAGTGATTTTTCTCTAATATGGCTCTGAGACCCACCCAATGCGCACTTGAAGCTGTTTCCCCCTGTGGTAATGTGGCCGAGGCGTGAAGCTGACCACTCACCTCTATATAATGCCGGGGTCAAGAATATAGGAGCTATACCTCAACACCCCCATATGTCTACATGGCATAGAGCTTAATGAATTAAGCACAGGAACAACTTTACATTTTGCCTTGAAGCTGTCTTCCAACTTCCCTTTTGTGGGCGTCGATGCACCTGTGGGCCCTTGCAGTTTTGTGCTGGGGTTGGAGGCTAGTTGCGGTGGAATGTTCGTACCCTGACGGCAGCCCGTCCTTCCACTGTGCCACTGTAGTGGCATTCGTCCTTTAGCTCTGGCCAGAAGCGGTTGTGTGCTTCGCGTACGGGCGCGTGTGACTCGCGTGGAACTATAAATCGAAGGATTGGTAATGCCTCCACGTGTCAGTGAAGTTGCACTGTCCTCACTAATTTGTTCTTATTTTGTGTGATTTACATTGAAAGTTCTAAAAAATTCGGTGACTATGTCACGTGTTCCAGCGCCGTTATTTCACACTTGTAATTTCGAACATAAAATGACGCCTGTTAGTGAGTAGAATATTAAGTAGCATTTAAATTTATTCATGTGTAATAAGATGAATCTTACGTCTAACATATGGACATCACGTGTGTCCGTCAACGCAGTTTATATGGCCTGCTTAATTGGTGAGTACAAAGTATTTCTTTCTAATTTTATCTAATTTACTTTCAGACATGTATTTCAAAGTATATCATTTTTTAGATCTGTCTCGTTTGGAGCTGGTATAGCAACACAACGTATAGTATAAATATTTTGTTTATGGACATCCATAGTCCTGTTTTTATTTGAAACACAACGTTTCGGAGACTGGGTTCTGTCTCCGTCTTCAGATAACCTACTCAATTGGGCCTAATCGATAGAGCTGTCTCCGGACACCTGCACCGACACATGATAAGGTATACAAAGCAAGCACAGCACAAAACATCTGCGAGAGTTAAGACAAAACATTAAAAAATGAAGACAGGCCGGTGGATGATGTCCAGAAACATAATAATTATATGAATGTACCTCCATCACAAAATTTTACAACTTATTTACAATGCATAGCTATATGTATTTTGTATTATACGACGCTGTCAGTATGTGAGATTATATAACTTTGAATGGTAGGGCGATTGGTCAAAAATTAATTGAATAATGTTTTGGAATGATTGAGGTACCATTCCAGAATTTACCTGGAGGGACTGAGGAAAATCACTGAAACCAGTGAGAACAGCCGATATCTCGGCCAATATGTAAATAGAGTGCCCCCCCAAACACATTTCTAGGTCGTTAACCCTACCTTAGCCTGGTCGGTACACGCAGTAGCCTATTATAATAATGTAGTGTAACATGCTACAGAATGATGCGCCAAGGCCGATGATTGACGTCAACTCCCACGAATAGCACCCACAAATAACCAACCATAAACACTCTTCTTTATATACAAATACGTGTATATTTCACATATCTACGAGTATATCAAAATATTGTCACGTGTTGGGTATGTCACGCGACAAATAACTTTACGTGGGTCTCGGATTTAGCGAATCGTTATTGAACATTCACTCTTACACGCCGTACAATTATTATCACTTGCAATATCACTTGACTTCTGGCCCAATACTCCAATGCGACTTCTCAACTATCCTTGACCGCGGTTGGATCGCATCTGTCTCTGGCGGCGGCTATCCCAAGATTGTCTCGTTCTCAATACTCACTGCTCTGTACGTGACGTAAGCTCTGCTTATATAGGGGTTATGCGAACCGGATACCAGACATAATTTGTCGCGGGTCCGTTACCGCTGTTCAGGCAGTCCGTTGTTACGGGAACGCTCCTTATAGATTACACCGGTAATGTGTTTCGTCTCATCTGTTGTTACTCAACGACAATTCGTTGCTACGATTTGTCGCTGCGGGAACTCCCCAGTTTCCAAGTATTCGTTGTCGTCGAAGTGTCCGCTCCGATTGTAGCGGTTGTCACGGTGATGGACGTAAGGTAACGCGTCACAATATTATCAATACTCATTGTCATAGACACGATACACTGAGACAGAAGAGAGCTCATTCGCTCATGTCCTACTAGATAAGTAACGTTCATGCAAGGTGTTAACGCTGGACAATAGGTTGCTATGGTAACCCGAAATTGGGTAATGACAATGACAAACCTCATGCTTTCAAAACTGTTTTGTTTTATGTAGGATATATTTAAATGCATTTCTCTCTTATTAAAATATAGGTAAAGGTAAGGTTGTCCCTATGCTTAACTAATTAAGCACTGCGCCATGAAGACGTATTTGGAAGTGGAACCACGTATTCTTGACCTCGGCACCAGACGCAGATGAGTCGTTAGCTTCACGCCCCGACCGCTTTACCCCCAGGAAATGGCTGTGGTACCCGTTGGATAGGAAACCGTATGGGCTATAGAACCGATCTAAACATTGTCGAGAAGAGGTATATTTCTGGTGCTTCCGGGAATCGAAACCCTTCTCGTCTGTCGTAGAACCCATAAACTTAGTCACTGTACTGACTGAGATATCCTGATGCAGACAAAATGCTATTATAATCCTAGTAGGAATGATTCGTAGTATTTTGGAAATTTACTGTGAAGCAGGATACATCGTCCGAACGTTCAAACATTAAACTACAACTGTGAATGTTTGTTTTACCTTTTGGAGGCGTTTGCTACAGGCGCTGTTAGTAACTCCATTCGCATCTGATTTGTACTGCAGTCCAGTCCATGCGAACGTTCACAGTGGCCGCGCGGTCTAAGCCACGGACTGTCTTCGCTCGCTCGAGCCTTGGGAGCGCAGGTTCGAATCCCACTCAATGAATAGATATCTGTTTGCGTTTATTTTGTGTTTCTGATGCCCTATGTGTAGGTAGTGGCCTCGTGACGGGCTGATCCCCAATCCAAGGAGTCCTATCGACTGTGTATAGGATTAAGAAACCGAAAAGAAGGCAAAGACCCAACAAAAAGGACTGTAGAGCCATAGATAAATGGAACTTATACTTTGCATAACAACCAATTTCACAGATCTGTCTGTAAAATGCGTAGATGAATGGCGTAGAAGGGACGAACAAATATTTGATCATGTGTCCCGACGGGGCCTGAAACCAAGAATGACTGTGCTGGCGAGGGCCAGCAACAATGCTTTGCTATGTGCTTTTGCTTACTAGAGCAATGTGTCCCTCCACTGCGTTCAAGCATTAAGAGTCGTCCTGTTCGTCTCATAACGAAGCACTGGTTTTAAAAGATGGACAAATCCTAAAAATTTCTGAACATAACATACTGTGACTTACCGATCCAGTGCTAGGCAACGACTCGATAAACACGTTCCCACGGAGAGATTCTTGTCAAGCAGCCGTTACTGGTTAATGCGTACAACAATATGCGACAATAAAAACTATACATTGCTGCGTATCGGACCACCAACCACGCGGCTATAACAATACGCGACAAGAATGTTTTCTATGTTGCCCGTGCCGAGACTGTTTGCTAGGTAACTGTGTGTTAACATGCCTCTACAACAATAGAGGGGCTGTTTTCTGTGCTGCGTGGTCCGTGCCGAGACTTTTTAAGGGAGACAGTTAATCGTAGGAGGCGACGAATTGGGAAGTGTCAAATCTGATACAGTAAAATATGGTCGTGAGTCCCAAGGGACTCGGACTCGATAAAGATTACGCTGACAAGGGCCAGCGGCATATATCGACACCAAGACTTACTGACTGACTGAATGTCAGTAGCAATATGACTTTGACTTCGACTTTGAGAATCAGTTGTCGGTAGGAGATAGCCACGGGAAGTCAGTAGTTGGAGAAGAATTAGAAGTCCCTGTCAAGACTTAGTATGTGATTAGAAGATTTAGTCACAGTGAGACTGTTTTAATTCCGTTACCAGGATATGATTAGTGAAGGCGGAGAATCCTAGTGCGTGTGTAACGGTGAACTGTAAATTGTGTAATTAAGCGATGTCGTTATGTTGTTTGTATGACTTGTGTGAATAAGGTGTCAATAAATCCAATCATCGAATCCAGAACCCGTTATTTTTAGTCACGGAATCCCGGACACAAAAACAAACACCAGGATATGCAGAACATTAATTTGTCATTTGTTTTGTATGGGTGTGAAACGTTGTCTCATAAGGGGACATACATTATAGATGAGGAATACAATCCTCCGGAGTGTGACGTCATACAGTTCGATGTCCACAAAGATCGTATTACTCATGGTCACCGCTGTGAGAAACTCAGATACTCGAAAACAAAGCTGTCAGGGAAATATTTTGAGTTAAGGAGGAGGAAACCGGTGAACAATTTTTGGTGTTACTTGACGAGGGACTCCGTGATTTGTACAGGTCACATACATGGACGCCGCCAGAAGCCAAGGCAGGAAGAGCAGCTTCAGAATATCCTTATGAAGTTAGCTGTTTAAGGATAATTTTATTGACAGCATAGTTTGATACATTTAAAAAAATATATTTTTTTTTCTTTGGAAATACAGTAGATGAAAATTTCCTCTCTTAGAAGGTCCCCCCCCCCCGAAAATCCAGGGGGGGGCATATGCCCTACTTGCCTTCCTTTCCGTCTCCTATGATCATGTATTGTTACTAGAGTGACGAAATTTAGAAAGTCTACTTTGGTTTGGTCATATGGCTAGAACTGGGATGTAAAGAATGCATTCATAATGTTTGTGGTGAAACTTCTTGAAAAAAAAAGTCCTCTTGTAGGATTGAGAAATAGAGGGTAGGATAATATTAAGATGGATCTTAGGGAGATGTGACGACAGGAGACAGATAGAACTTCCTCAGGATCGTGTCCAGTGGCGCGTTGTGGCATGAACGGTGTTTAATTTTGGGGGCTCTGCTATCAGAGGGTTAGACGTAACATATCCATGCAAGTGCATTGTAACCAGTCTCTGTTATCGCATATTCTCTCATAATCACATGCTGGGTCAAGATGGACGGTTCTAATTTTGATATCAGGTTTTGTTTGCCTTTGGCCATATGGACCATCAGCGTCATCAAAGCCGTAAGGATTGAGGGTTAGCACGTAGGTCCTTCATCTCATATTGTTTGGAAGTTGCTGCAAACAGAACTGTTCCGGTCGTATTTCCTCATACTTAGTCCCAGATCTTCGTGAATTCCTTGCAATTACGTCATCATCACGGATTAAGTACAGCACCTCGCGGTCAACGCTGCACCGTAAGGGACAGGTCGCGGCTTCAGGTTTCGGTCCCGTTTCCAAGTATCCTCAAGTTCTTGTGTTTTCCCCTCTGGTCATCCATTCAGACGCAAGAATAATGTTTGCATCTGTTCCATGACTGCTTCCTCTCACGTCCTTTACGATTCGTTATTCACCAATCTCCTTCTTCGACACTGTATAACGTCATGTATGATAGCGTCGTTAAATAAACCATAAATAATAAATCACGACCACATTTTAATGTGCTCTGGGGGCACGGAGCTTCTTCAGGACGAAGATGGAGGAGACAACTCGAAATACGAGGGAGAGTCAGTAAATAGGTCACAAATGGAAGTAAAACAGCGGTAATGGGCGTAATAGATTTTCTATGTGTATCACTAGGTAGCAGCACAGTCCAGCCTCATGACAGCCTAGGCAGCAGACGCGCATGCACATGTTCAGAG